GTTCCTTATACATTCCACAAAAAATGCTATATATCGTTTTTTATACGACTCTCTTTTTTTGATGATTTTACGAATTACTTGATGGTTTTGAGCATTTAAAATAAAAAATTATATAACGAATAAGAGTAAAAAATATTTAGATAATAACAAAAATTTTACTTTAGAAATGCTTGACGGTCTTATAAATACTAAATTAGAAAAGCGTTGGAAAAATATTTAAAGAACCTTGAACCGCGAGGTGGTCATCCATGATCTATTAGACGCTTCAATACGAACTGAGTCATTTTGTATACATACTGCGTCGTGCCTCAGAGAAGACAACGGAAAAATATGCTAGACTTACGTTGTCTCCAAAAGGAGACTGTCGGAGGCAAATGGTTAATCTATCATTTAAGGCTCAGGATTAAAATAATACAAATGTATTAACCCTCATTAATTTCAATATTTCATCACAGATCACTCAAAATTTTTAGCGAATTTGTAATTACGCAAAATACTACATTCTATAAAGATTTGCATAGATAGGTAATACACATAAAATTATAAAATTAATACATATACCACATCATTTCAATTTTCAAACCGTGACAAATGATTAAGCCAATATTATCAATAATATATTATCCGATAATAATACATCTGAATATTTGCACACAGTTTTCCAAACCATAATAGCCTGCGCAATCTGTATTCCGAGAAGTTACCGTCATAATGCTAACTGCGAAAACAAATTACTATGAGAAAATTAAAAGTCAGCCGCGGTATGCGAATAAAAAAATGAAATAACATCAGATGAGGAATGGGAACTAGTGGACTTTAAATTCGTTTACGAAATTCAAACTACCGTTATGCCATCCAACGGTTTTCCTTCGCGTAATCAGTCTTGAACAAAATAAATATGCACAACAAACATTCTGTATTGCAAAATCTGTTTTTCAGAGAACTGGATGTCCCAATAGGCGACACAAATCCAGCTGTAACTATTTGCCTAGTCAACAACGACTGCCTGATAAGCCAGAATGTAAATGAATCTTTATATTTTTATGGTTTCAAAATAATAACACATATTCGTATGTAAAATTTACTTAGTTTATTTAATTAAGTAAAATCCATTTCACCTGGATAATATTTAGAGAATTATCCCACATTTTAGCTCAATCTACTTCTATCAGAAAATATCCCACAATATTCTCTTCAAAACTGACAGAAACGCCTATTCTCTATAACATGTGAATTTTAAGTTGACAAAGATAAATGAAATATTGCGACGTTAGACTTGTATATTCAATACCGAACTTTTTGGGAGTAATCCTAATATTCAAAATTAAAAACTGTTTACAAACACCCCTTTATATTACGGTTTGAATCTGTTAAAAAAAATCATGTATTCCAAACCCACCTGCACCTGTTGGATAAACCCAGATGTTCTTGCAATAATTCAATTACGTGGGCACTTCTGCTTATATTTGCTTATTTCATTATTCACGACAAAAATATCAAATAGCACTCGCAAATTAAATCGTCTGGAAGCTTACGTAACTATTTATTTGCCTCATTACCATAATATTATATTTTAATAATATATTTTGCAATATATGTCTATCGAAGGCATGTGGTTCGGACAATGTGTTATTTTCCACTGTGGGGAATATTGATAGAATTATATATTTCTAATGAACATGATTCCTGGCGCGACCTTCAATTTTAAAAATTTTGAAATCTCGAATTAAGGTGATTACTACATTACTTTTCAAATTGTAAGATATTCATAAAATTTTATATTCAAACTTCAAACTAGAAAATTTTCATAAAATTATATATATCTAATAAACATGATTCTAGACCCTCAATTTTCAAAATTTTAAATTTTTTAAATCTTTTTAAACTGAAGAATATTCATAATAATCTATATTTCTAACAAACATGATTTTAGTAAGTGACCCTCAATTTGCAAAATTTTGAATTCTCGAATTAAGATAGTTACAAAATCACTTTTCAAACTGGAAAATATTCCTAAAATCACAAATTTATAATGAACACGTTTCTAAACCTAGACATAATCCTCAATTTTCAAAATTTTGAAAACTCGAATTAAGATTGTTACTATATTACTTTTCAAATTGGAAAATATTCATAAAACTCTATATTTCTAACAAACATGATTTTAGGCGTGACCCTCAATTTTCAAAACATTGAAATCTCTAAATAAGACAGTTTTTACAATAATTTTCAAACTGGAGAATATCCATAAAATTTTATATTTCTAATAAACATGATTCTAGGCGTGACCCTCAATTTTCAAAATTTTGATATCTAGAATTAAGATAGTTACTATATTACTTTTTAAACTGAGAGCCTATTCATAAAAGGCGTGACCCTCAATTTTCAAAATTATAAATATTCATAAAATTATATATTTCTAATACACATGACTCTAGATGTGACCCTTAATTTTCAAAATTTTGAAATTTCGAAATAAATATAATACTTTTTAAACTGCAGAATATTCATAAAATTCTATATGTATTTCTAATAAACATGATTCTAAGGCTGACCCTAAATTTTCAAAAATTTGAAATCTCGAATACAGATAGTTTTTACATTACTACTTTTCAAACGAGAATATCCATAAAATTTCCAATAAACACATTTCTAGACATGACCCTCAATTTTTTTAAATTTTGACATCTCGAAGATAGGTTTATCATAATTTTTAAACTGGAAAATATTCTTACAATTCTATATTTCTAATGAATTCCTTTTCTAGACATGACTTTCAATTTTCAAAATTTTGAAATCTCAAATTAAGATAAGTACTACATTAGTTTTCAAACTAGAGAATATTCATAAAATTCTCTATTTCCAATAAATATGATTTTAGGCATGACCCTCAATTTCGAATTTCGAATGTCGAATTCAGTAGACATTACTTTTCATTAGATTATGAGTTTAAAAATTATAAAAAAAACTAAATCTAAAAACTTACAATTTGTAAGCACGATAAAGACTCTGGTTCGTAATATCATTATTCTCTAGGTACTTCTACCGGAAAATCATTTCTCACAATCAGAGAATTCGAGTCTAACTAGAATCTCACAGCGATCTTATGTGAAACTATGTGAGGTCATTCATACAATACAAAAGAGCTTATAGAGAATTCTTCCAGCCAATGACCGTCATGTTCGTTTGAGTTGTGTATTTGTATGTTAGATATAGAGATGACTAGCGAATTAGGAAACCGCGATATTGCGGATGTGCCAAATTATTAGAGGACACACTGATACTCATACTGTCACAAAAGTCTACATATAATAAATAAGGATACCATTCTGAAATTGTTACGTATGAAACATACAAGATGTGTGGATGTCCTTTTGAATTCGGCTATTCGGTTATTATTAATGGCCTCATAGAACGAGCTTATTATTAGTAAATTATGTGTAGGAGAATATTTTTGATAAGTGTAATTTGTAAGTCACGAAAATAACTAAGAGATTGCTGAAATGGATTTTAAGAAAAAGTACAGAAGTTTTATTGAAAAAAATGAAAAACAAAAAAATACTAGTAATATATTTATATATGTGTATATATGGGGTAGCTAGGAGCGCAAAGCTCGAATTCGACTTTGACGAATTATATTGTGAAAACCAAACCAATTATATCACAACAAATAACACATATCAAACCAACAACTATATGACTATGTTCACTAAACCCCCCGCTAATTCATCATTGTAGAAATGTGATATTTTCTGATTTTCAAAAATTTGGAACTTAGTCTTTTCACCCTAAAGGTGTAATTGGAGGTTTGCCAGTTTGTTTTATTCAAATTATGCTTCAAATTATTATTGAATGTTTTATGAGGTATATTTAACAAGCAATAACTATATACTAACTAAATTATAAAGCCAGTGGGCAAACAGGTTCAATGTCTTATTTTTAATTTTAAAGGAATTTTACAAATTAATAGCTACAATATTTAACTAATGCAAAATATAAATTTTATGGATAATTTTTTTACATAGATAACACTGTATATAACCTTTGATTAGCACTTCGTCAGAAATATCCATTAGCAGAGTTGGAATATAAATTTCTTGAATAATTGCTAAACTCTATTAAAAATAATTACCAGCCCATCGCCGAAATAAAAAAAAGTTTGAACAAAAACATACTTTAATAATCGTACATTTCGACGCATGATGTGTGTCATCATCCAACAAATCAACCACGACATAAACAGAAACTTATAACACTAAAATTAGTTTTCAATTAAAACTTTAATAAGAGAAATACAACTAAAAATTTAAATTCAAAGCTAATGGAGAGGACTAATGCCTCCTAGGCAAAAAGATACTTATCGATTCACAAAGAAGTGGATGAAAAAAACTTTTTTATAAATCTGGACTCCGACTTGTAAACAATTTTAGTACAACTACTAGTACTATTTTTACCAAAACAAAAACCCCTTTTAATATAGAATGACTTAGAAATCTCGTCTATCAAATAAATTGTTTACATTGCAATTTAATTTACATAGGAGAAATAAGCCAGAACTTAATTAAACGTTTACAACAACATAAAAACAATTCAAAAAATCCGAGACAATTTAAAAGTATGCTTGCAGACCAAATTTATACTTTAAAACATAATATGGACTTTTCTAACCCGACCGTACTACAATTCGAACAAAATTTATTTAAACGAAGAATTATAGAAGGATCTTTTTTAACTATTTATAACAATAAGACAATAAATAAACGGAATAATAAACACATCAATTGTCGAAACGTATAATTGATAGAAAATATTTTTCTTTCAGGTTTTTAATTTCGATGAATGGGCTGCTAATAATTTCAAATATGTATCAACGTCAAAATATCAATAAAATTAAATTTGAAACACTGAATAGTCACAAACTCCAATTATCTTCTTAATGAGACAATTTATCCTAAGAAAATTGTCAAAAAATTGTCTTTTAATAAATTAAATCAACTCACCTAATCGCAACTCCATGATATATTAATTAACACAATTATCACATAGTATCCCAAATAACCATCAATTCGAAATATATCATTGTTTTCTCACGATTTGGCATAGTTTTCACAGTAACACTATCCACCGTAATTATCTGCCTCGAATTACGTCCAAAAATCAATTTCAGTCGAAACAAACACGCGCGAACAAAGCACACCGACTGCCGCGGACGTACTGACCGAGTTCGACCGCGGTCGAAAGGGTAGCCCCGCCGAGGAACGAACGGCTGAAAGACTGAAAGATCGGGAGAGCGTGAGTACGCGAAGAACGTGCGAACGTCGAGCGTGCGAGCGTGAGACTGTTCAGTACGCTGCACGGTGTTGTTCCGTAGCGGTCGACAGGCTCACCTACGATAAATTTACTCCCGTCCGATGTCGCTGCTGACGCTGAATCTTGGAAAAAGGTCATAGTTTTGTCATCGTCTATTGCCGATTTATTGACAAAATGGTGTAAACGCATGTTTAATCACATTTTTCATATTGAATTAAATTATATTAAGGATAATTTGGAATTTAAGTTAAATTATTTAACTAGTAGTAAGTAGCATTTTTTCTTAAGGCAAATTAACTTTCCGATACAGTAGGCCCTCGCTTTACACGGCACTCTGGGTACACGGTTCCCATACTACACGGAGCTAAAAATCCGACATCCCTCCGACTACACGGACTTCTTATTACACGGTATTTGGTCAACAGCCCATAAGTTCGTTGTGCAAAAGGGTATTGTTGTAAATTTTGTTATCGACTTTTATCTTTTAGACATGCCTGATTGTATAATAGCCGCCTAAGAACACGTTTGAGCTGATTACTGCGTCGCGCCAATTTTTGAATAAGGTGTCAATTTCGTCACGTCATTTACGTCATTTCGTCCGTATTTCTCCTACTTCAAGTTGTATTTCTTGGTCTCCATACAACGCGATAAAAATGGTGCGATTTGTACCAACTCTGAGTCTCTCATAACACGGTTCCCATACTGCACTATGTAAGGTTCCATAGAACGCACTACGAATTAGCCTGAATTGTATGTTAAATACGAGTTTCTTATAGCACGGTTCCTATACTGCACGGTACGCACTTGCCGCGTAAAGCGAGGGTTTACTGTACATATACGTAATCAACTTACTAGTGGTGGATGGCATCGTGCCTTATGGTAAATTGCTGGAAATTTCTAAAAAAAAAGCTTTCAAATTATTTTGAAAACTTTGAAAGAATAAGATTTTTGAGAAAGTTAAAATTTTAAAAAAAAATGGATTTTTGAAAAAAAAAATGATTCATAGTCTTTGTACTATGTAATATAAAGTCTATGAACAAATGGCATATTTTTACTTTTTGATATGTAAAAATTTTCATTTTCGATTATTTTATGATTACTATCATTACCCTGTAGAATTATAAATATTAAACTTATTATTATTATAATTTTCGTGTTAAACTAATAAAAATATATTCATTAGTTAACTTGAACAAAAGTTTGTGATAAAATAGTTTAAAATTAGTTGTAATTAGCATTAGGCCTCAAGGCAAGTTGCATAGATAAAATATTCAGCTGTTTATTCCGAAAATAACATTTTCGCTTTCAATAATAAATAATTAATCCGATTTTCAATTGATGTCTTTCATGCTTATACTATCTGAAATTGAATATAATATAATGTATGAATTAAATCAATTTGTTTAACAAATTTTATTTCAAATCTATATGGTGTTCTAAAAATGTATTTCATTTAAGTGTGAACGTCAACTGTAATCAGTAGCTACTTGCAAACGCCACAGCATACGCACCACATACACCACATACATATGCTTCAGCATAGATTCTGATTAGAATCGCTCAAACTCCCGACGAAAATCTAAATTTTGATAATTTTTTATATTTCAAACCCTTATCGGAGGCCTATAATATTTAGGTACGTTATTTTAGTCTACAAAATCTATCGTTATACAAAGTTTTATGAAAATCGTCAGAAACATTTTTTTAAGTTAAGTTACGAAGAAACGCCCCGGCCAATCTTTTCACTTTTCTGCTAATTACAAAGAAACGGTTTGGCTGATCGTCGCACAAAACTGATTAACTCTAGTTCTTATTTTTTTAGAATTTTTGAAATCGGTCAAGTGGTTTGAAAAACGTCGGGTAAAGGTCAAAAAAAAGACTTACATATATACACACACATACTTTTTCAAAATTAGGTCTCATTTGATTCAGAATTAGTATATTAGATTTTTTGGTGAAAATATAAACTTCTTTATGAAGTAAATCATTTGAAATAAATTAATTTTAATCAAATTCCTACTTATTTTTACAAAATTTATTATTAAATTTTCACACTTAAAAGCAACTCACTTGAAGCTTAATTTAATACTTTCCGTGTCTGCGTGTTAATAATTACATAGTGTGCATATCAAATTGTGAACAATGAATCATTTTTATAGTGCGGGTTTAATATGTATACTAACAAAGCGCCAGGCGCGTTATTATAAAGATAGTTAATTAGTCATATTATTTCAAGCCATTACGCAATCTACTGCAATAATAAAAAACATTTTAAAATACAATTTTATAGGAAGAAAATGGATTTTCCCAAGCCACAATAAGAAAAATAACCAATGACTAATTGAAATATTTGATTATCTATTAAATTTATATTTAAATTATTTTTACCATTTGATTGCATGATCCGCGAAACAGAAAATTTAATATATATTTTTTATTTTTTATTTCTATTATTTATAATATATTCATTATATATTGTATATCTTATTCAGTATAATATTATGTATTTATTTACATGTAATTGTGATATATGACCATTTTCATATCACTCATTTAATTATTCAATCATAAGTATCTATCTTTATTTTTTCATTCATACATTCTCTACTCTAATCCAATTATCTCAATTTTTCTTAATATTATTTTTTTTGTTTTCAAATTTTTATTTCTAAATTTGTACTTTATTTATTATTAAATTTAAATTAATAATATTAAATAGTATTAAAATATATTATTCTCTACACATATGAATTTATGTATCTAATGCAGTTTTCTCAATTCATGTTTCGCAGAAACGTTATGACTATTGAAATAAAAATAACGATTCAATCATTTCAACAAATCAAATTTGAGATTATTAATAATAATTATCGACTATCATTGCCCTACCACATGGCCTGCTATTAATTATGAATGGTGAGAAAACATCACGATTTGCGTAACATTTCGAAGTGATTCATAACCGTTTCTCATTAATTTGAAAGTAGTTTTTGTTAGTACCTACAGATTATGACATTGCGCTTGTAGAGTGTAAATTTTGCACTTATAGTTAGAGATATATCAATATAGTCAACAAAAAATTGAATTATGAGAAATAATTAAATGTGAGCAAAAATATTGTAATTGCTTCTCACATAATATTTTATGTTCGACATTAATATTTATAGATTTATAGAGTGCACGAAATAGAATGATTTACAGATGTATATCTAATTTATTTTGTTTTAACATGATAACAGGAGTTATCTACTCCAGTATTTTCAAAATATCGTTTTTTAATTTTTGGATTTTTTCAATGTTTAACTATTCAGTATGTGTACCAGAGAACTTTAGATAATTCAAATTATTTTTTGAGATACAGGTATTTGAGCATGCTAATTCTACCTCTGTTTCCTTCTTCCGCAAAACTTTAAAAATTCCGCGAAACTTCTTTTTCGATATGATACCCACGATTTCTCAACTTCTATTGGACCTTTGAACCGATTTACTTGAAAAGTTCTACAGAGTCGTCTTTACAGATTTTTTTCAGTATAAAGTACGCTCATCCCGAAATTTCGATATTTTCTATTTTTTTTAAAAAAATCAGACAGTTGCTATTTTGTTAAAAAAAATTATTAAAACATTTTCCATAGATCAAACAATACCGACATTATTCTAGAAATAATATTTTTAAATCTTCGGGTTAATTGGAGAGCTAAATTCATTGGTATGATCAAGTCAAACTTATTTAAAGCCCCCACTTTATTACCATGTAGAATTTAAACTTTCAGACTATTTTCAGTTTTTAATTTTTTTTTTATTCTCAGAATATTTATTAATAACTTTCAAAAATCGCATAAAATGTATGTAACTGTAACGAGTAGAACTGTAACTACGTTATGGGAAGTTTTAGCAATTTGCCATAAGACATGAAGCCAGATAAGAAACCTAAATTAAAAATCATCAATTTGATAATAATTTCGTGAAGGTTTGAAAAATCTTTGATTTCTTTTACGTATGTTTTTTTAAGTTTTATTTTTAGGTGTAGTTATACTCCATTAATCCTTTTAATGGAATTTCATAGCTTGTAAAAATTAATAATATACAAGCATAATATATGCATATGCAAATATTGAAATTATATAAGTTATTAATTAGTTGAAAATTAAGTAATTTATTAGCATTTTTAAAATAATCGATTAACAAGAATTGTTACAGCACAAACTTTTTTTAATATGATTTATTATAATCGTTTACAGATTTGTCATCTAGTATTTGTCAAATGGGCACTTAGGAATGAAATAATGTTACATTTTGAAATGAAAATTGCGGAAAGTGTTAATAGTTCTAAGAAGCCAGGCCCACCAGACTGAAGAAAAAATTACCCAATGATCTCATTCAGTAACTTTTGTATTATTTTTCCTTTTCTTTTTTATTATATTATACTCCTAATAGATTTTACTCTAAGAGTATTTATTATAAACAAACTATAATGTTATCCCTTCTTAACTTCTCGTAGGGCAAGTTATAGTAATCGCAAAAAAATCGAAAATAAAAAATTTTATATATCTATTTTATAGAGATTTTAACAATAAGTATAATTTTTTTTTACATTTCTATCGGTTCCGTACCAATGCTTATCCGCGGCACTTACGCGCTTTGACATTTCGTCTCTATGCAGTTCAAGCAGTACGATTGCTTTGAAAAAAAGTTCAGAATTTCCAAAATATGTCAAAATGAAGAAAACATTTTTTTTTCAACAAAAAGTATTTTTTTTCAAATTTGTAGTTTCTCAAAAATCTAATTTTTTAGAAATAAAATTGTTTCAAAAATGTCAATCGTTTTTTAAAAAATAATAATTTTTGGTACGGAAAGTTTCAGCAATTTGCCTTAAGGCACGATGCCATGCGCCCCACTAGTTTATATTGTTAACAATCTCTGCTCATTGTCTTACCTAACAAGTTGCAGAATAGATTGAATAAAAAAAGTTCTAGTTGTCCATTTAAATGGTAAGTTTATCGAACTTGAAAGCTCATTGTC